TATTACCTTCCCAAAATATGGACCTCTTCTAAATTACTTGTCTAAATGCCAAAGTGCAGAAGTAGAATTGAAAATGTATGCTCCTGGCTGTTAATTTATCTACTGCATAGCCCATCTTTCCTTCTGCACCATGAAAAAAAAGAGTAGAATTAAATTGTTTTCTAGAAGTGAAAAATACAGGAGAAAAAGTCCATCTAATACCAAGTTTTAGAGACTTTTACAATAATTGTTTCTGCTCCTAATTCTACACTAGTCTATAGGCAAGGATTTTGATAATCTTAGTTTCTGGATTTTAGGACCTATTCTGTTTCCCTAACATTAACCTAGATGTATTAGAAACTAGTAAAAGTCTTGTCTGTTATACAAAGGAGAGTCTAGATGAATTGGGAATTACAAGTTAATTGTGAACATAATTGCACTTCTGGTGGATAATTGCAATTGTAAGTCAAGCAAGACAGCTTCTAATGCTTGGGCCAGGTTTTGAATTCTATGAACTAAATTATTAATGAGGATATTTTCATAAGCTTTCTGCATAAAATTATCTTTATAACAGAGAGGTTGTCTGGTCTTTTCTTCTAGCTTTTATGACTCTCAGTGATAATCAGCAGCTGTTATCCCATGAATCTATGCTGATTTTATGCATCCTGGCAAACCAGAGATACCAGATGTAGGTGGTGAATTACTTACAAGCTCTATGAATTCTGTTGGTTCTAGTTGAAAGAGTGATTTAATACCTTGGGAATCTTGAAAGCTGTATTGAGTCTATTATGAAAAGCCCAATGTGTAACTTTCCTCTAAAAAATCCTTTTTCTCTTTCTCTGATTCTGCTGCATTTCTTCTGTATTTTCCTTTCTCTTCCTGTATTTCTCAGCCTCCTTTGGACCAAATTCTTTTGGGATCCTCCCTCGTGGGGAGCCCTGCTTATATCAGTTCTCTAGTTTTGAAGAAAACTCCCGAGCTCGTTAGAATCTTGTTTCTCATGTTTATTAGAAGGTCATCACAAAACTTGGCAGGTCTCTCCAGGCTGGCTGCACAAGGATAATTCTTTACAATCTGGTACATTTCTTTCTTCTGATGGTACAACAAGGCCTTGTGGCTCATCCTGTGCCCGATAGCACAAAATGGCCACGAACTACACAGTTCATTTATCTTTATACCTGTTTTTACCCAATTAACAATAGACACGTATATTATTTTTCTTAATGTCCCAATGAGCCTTCACCTATGTCCTGCACTGCGGCATTTTCTGTCCAATCACTTACTATTACCCAAAAACCTCTAGGAGAAGAACATGAAGAAGAAAGAAGGGACAAGAGACAACACCCTAAATCCTCCATCTTGTCTCCTGTTCTCTAAACTAACTTTTTCACCCAGTGATTTAAGAAAACTTTCTAATCTACACACTTACACTTTTAGCTTTTTCTATCTAATTTTAACAGTTGTTTTCATGTATTACCATGAAAACATGCTCATGAATTTCATATTATATGAAATTCAGTGTTTTTCTGGATCTTAGAACTAAGTATCAGAAACAAGGGCACACACTCTGTATTCCAGATTCCAACACAATGCAGGCTACTTTTCTGACTGTGGCTGCAGTCAGATGTATACATACCACTGCATATGCACTGTATGATGCATAAAGAAAACAAATTGATCAGTATAATAATATATAATACTATTGTATACATCAACAGTGTTTCCACATCTGATGGACAGCTGCATTGAACACATTATATCTTGAGACTGATACAGTATTAATGTGAGGACTTGAGACAAGTAGCAAAGTAGTAGGACTCTGGAAGATTTTTATAAGAGGAGAGTGAAAGGTTGAGATTATTTATGCAGAAGATGGATTGAAAACTTCTATAATCTGTCTCCTAAAGCAAGATTTGAGTCCATCCAGTATCATCATGCAGAATAAATTTTAAGAAAAGTAAAGAATTTTGTTTTGTACCTGAAACATAAAGAAATGATAGAATTCAAAGTCACAAGTATGGAAATTTAAGATAATCCAGAAAGATGTTTGGCACCCTTTTCATTTTTAAACAATAAGCATATGAGGTTTTAGAAAAGATAAATTACTTTAAAAAAAAAGAAGTACCTGAGTCAAACCATCAAACATACACTTTCACAATAATGGTTTGTTGCATCTTCTTGGGATGTGTCTTGGATCATTGCCATTATGAATGTTGAGTAAGAGTCAGGATATTGGACAAAATGGACAATTATTTATATTCATGGTGACAGTTTCCCTTCCTTTGGCATTCTGAATTGTTATAATTTCTCTCTGCTCTGTTTGTCAAGAAAAAAGAAGGAATGGCAGCTCTGATTTCCCTTTCTGTCCCCAGAAAGCAGATGTTATAGTTTCTTTCAGAGATTCAAAGGGTCAAATATTTTGAAGACTCTTTCAATCACATCTCATGCTAATGACCTATAAGCAGATCTGGGATTACAGAAAATCATGTGCTTCTTTTCTGGCATTTTGCTACTTAGATAAATGAGAGATGGTATACTTTTCAGGGATGTTAAGGTGGAAGCACTTACTGAATGTGTTATAGTCTAAAAACACTCTTACTTTGAAAATTTTTCTGAGTGCCTCAATTTCTGTATTGTGATGACTACTGGGAGTCTTACCAGGATAATATGAAGAACTTAATACATTCCTAAGAAGTTTTCTTAAAAAAAAAAATCTTAAGAAGAATGTCTTCTCCTCCTACTCCAATTTACAGAATAAAAATTCCTAAGCCTAAAATGTAGCCCTGCTTGATTAGGGCACTTGAAAGCTGAATCACAATCTGAATTTTGAAGCTACTTTTTCTCTCCACAGATTCAAAACCTTAAATCCCATTTGTGTTAGCTGTCAAATTAGCAAGCTACGGCTGTGATTAGAACGTCTTAAAAATAATTTCTGTTCCATGGGATTTTCTGGGGAAAATAAAAATAACATCAGGTTGTGGAGTTAACGCAATCAAAACTGAAATTTCCCTCCTTCCCCCTCCCCCCCCAAATAATCCCCAAATTAATTAAATTTAATTACAGTCTGTTAAAATCAGAGAACATTAATGTTGAGAATGCAGGTCAAGCAGGTCAAGAGCAGATTACTTAGTGCAATTTCCAGGCTGGCCTTGAGTTCTGATTGTTTACTTCACAGTGAAATTTATTTTCCTGATTTATGATATCAGAGTTTCCCAGGTACTAGCTGGTGTCTGTTGCTGCTTGTCCTTCCCCTGAGCAGAGCTTTTGCTCCCTGATGCCATTAGGGTTCTTAGGTGCTGCCATAGAGCCGCTTCTGCTGCCCGGAGGTTCTCCTTGTCCCCAGTGCCTGATATAAAGATGACCCCAAACAGGGTGGATCCCCTCCAGGTGCTGGTATGCACACACATCTGTGTTAAAAGGTACTGTTAGGCAGTGTTTTGCTCATCTTTGCCCCTGAAGAGCACCCCAACTAACCTACTGCTCCTCAGCTGTATCTGGTATCCCTGTTCCCAGACTCCAGGGCAGTGTCTGTCAGTCCAGCCAGTGGTCCTTGTTGTCCTCCACACCACATTTGACTCTGGGAGACCATGTCACAGGCTTTGTTAAATCAAAATAAACTGTTTACACTGCTCATCCTTTATTCACCCAACCAGTCCTGTATTCATGCTGAGCTCTCAGTTAACACAGTTTACATATATCATGTTTATTCCTGGCTATTTATTGTTCTTCATACGTGGGTTTTATTTTCTACAGAATTTGATTTGTGACCTTCCCAGGGACTGAAAGTGATTAACCTGTATGCACTGAAGTAACGAGTGCAGAATTAGAGCTGTTTTGTTCAATGACCATGGTCAGAAGTTTGGTTTATTATCTGATTAATTTTTCTCCCTGTTTGCCTCACTTGGCTAAAAATACCCTGTTAGAACAATGCAAAGGGTCTGAGATTAAAATTCTGTTAACTCAGAAGAAAACTGTTCTAAGAGAAGGACAATTCATTTGAGGTTACTTGGGAACTTCCATACACATAGCTGTTTAAATATGGAACATGGAAATGCTGGTTAGAGTGTTCTCAATATGCAGAAGGGAAGGTAATAAGAGGCAAATCACAAGTGTTCATAAATTAAAGCATGACTTTGAGCACTATAATGTACAGGCTATTCAGTCTTGCTACAGTACTAATACCTGTGGTAGTAAGTCTGCCAGACACTGCTATGCTGTGAGGAAGGAAAGAGGTTGAAGGACATTCAGTTGGGCAAGGCCACAGGCAAGAGAGTTTGATAAGACTCTGCACATACCTAGAAGGCATTAGGGGCTAAAATGGAGGCAGAGGGGTGTGATTCACAAGTGTCTGACAGAGAACAATAAAATAAAAAATTAAGAGAGAGTCTATTGGGAAACTGACTGATTTGTGAGATGTTAATAAGCTGTGGACACACTCCCATGTGAATCTGAAGGACAGCACATGAGCTCTGAAAACTGGATGACTAGCAAATATGAAAATTTTATTAGTCCAATATGAGCAGGGAAATGAAGGGAATGCTTTTATGAGAATCCATGTGCCTAGCAACTGTGATGTTCTGAAGAGGATCCATTGAATTTCTGTGAAAAAGTTGCCACTGATTCCAGTCAAGGTAGATCAAGACATTAGTGCTAATACAGGCTATGTTTTTCAGAGCAATTTGTCCAGGAACAAAGGTGGCAATACACAAGGAATGGTTGAACAAGTGCAGGACCATAGAGAATACCTAGGGAAAATAGTATTCAGTAAGTCATTAGCTGTACATGGGAAGCTATAGAGATATGTTGACTGAATATCTGTTTTCCCTCATAGGAAGGGTTAATTGGTTATACTTCGAAGTGTTATCATATGGGCTATTCATTCAGGAGAACATGCTAGGTTCATGGAGTTTGATTTATTAGCGCTAAAAAACTGTTATGTTTTCTATTTGACAATGTAATACGTGAAAGTTCAATTTGGTTTTCCTTGTTTGTCAAGAGGTTGTTTTCTTTGTCTCACTTAGGTATTTCACTTGTGGGAGCCTCGAGTGTGCGTGGAGCCCACCTTGTTCTCACACAGATTGTTGCCCTTCTGATGAAGAGGTTTCACCATACAAGGCGAGACTGGAGAGGAAGCCTATCAAATGTGCTGCTGCCCGTCCTCTTTGTTGCACTGGCAATGGCCTTGTTTAGTGTGAAGCCGCTGGCTATTGATTATCCCTCTCTCAAGCTGACACCAAGACTTTACAACAATGCAGAATCCTTCTTTAGGTAAAGGGCTCATCCATCATCATCAGTATCCAGGGTTCTGGGACCTTTACCCTTGACTTCTCCTATTTTAAAGACTTGTATTCTAGAAAGAATGATAGGTTACTTTTTACAGTAGATAGGTGGGGGTTTTTTTAGATGTTTAGTACACTTTTATAGATTGCTTTAAGGGAAAGACAAAATTAGAAAAGCTTTGTGTCAAGGATTTTCTGGAGGAAAGGGCAAAGACTTTGGAGAAGACTGAACTCAAATCAATACCAGCCATGACCATTTATATGTAAATGAACAAGTGTATTTGAGCAAGCTTTTGCATTCTTCATTTTATAAAATTGCTTAGGTCTGAAGTTATTTTCTCAAAACAATTATAGAGTTTGAAAATGCCACACAGTATTTACAAAACCTGCTGCTCTTCTTACTCAACCTGATTTCTGCATGTTCAGCTTTGAAACCAGCTAGATTATTTATTTTTAATGTGTGGTATCTATAGAATTAATCTGTATAGAGTGCTAAGCACATATATAGATCACTTTCTCTACTGTGAAAATATGCAGATGAACCTAACAAGATGCTGTTTGAATTTTTAAATAAATTTATTTTATAAGCATAAAAACACTTCAGCAGTGCCATCCACTAGGAATGCATGATTATAAGGAGAAGGATGCTTATGGGTAAATGTTGAGATTTGTTTAGCCAAAATTGTAATGAATTTTCTTTACATGTTCACATAGAGTTTCTTGAAACAAGATTATTTTGGTGTATTTCCTATGCATGGATTTTATAGTCTTTTAATTTATTGGAAAATACATAGAACCTTGAGACTGAAGGTTAATAGAGCTAGACGTTTTAACATGTCTTTATTTCTTTTTTTTTTTTTTTTTTTTTTAATTTTTCTTTCCCCTTCACTCTTTATACCCCTATGGCCATGTTTGAACAGCACTGAAGATGATAACCTAGGAAAACTTTCTCAGGTTCTACTGGGATATTTCTCTGATTGGGACCACACATGCACACATTCACAACATGGGTAATTGTAACTAATGTAACTATTTCCTTAATTTAAGTATTGAATTTTTATTTATTTATTTATTTCTTTATTTATTTATTTATTTATTTATTTTCTTTCTGTGTAACAGATTATTTTAGGCTTTTTTTTGGCAGTATGGAGTTAGTGACAAATGGCTTCTGGTAAAGGAGCTGGCATCCAGGTGAAGAATAAAACAGCATTTACTGTTAAAGATATGATCCATACAGCTTAAACGTCCGTGGCAATTTTCTGTTTAATTTCAGGATGATTTTGATCAAGCCGGTATCTATATGAAGGATGAAAAGACAAATAGGCAAATACTTGTTAGGAAGCATTCTAGACTTCCAAATTCAGGAATACAGTGGTGACCATGCTTTAATAATTGCTGCGAATATGAGACATGAAGTTCATTTGATGCCTATATAAATATTTTTAATAAATCAATTTTTATAAAAATGAGTAAAATTAGTATCACTCTAGACACAGCTTCTGTTGTGATTAAATGCTGAGAAGGTCATTCATTAGTAAATTTGCAGACTAAACTGAGAGTACGTGTTGATCTATTGGAAGGGAGGGGGGAACTGCAGAGATACCTGGAATGGTTGGATGGATGGGCAGAGTTCAGTGGGATGAAGTTTAATAGGTCCAAGTTCTGAGTCTTGCGTTTTGGCCACAATAACCCCCTGCAAAGTTATAGCCTGAGGACAGTGTGGCTGGACAGTGCCCAGGCAGGAAGGGACCTGGGGGTACTGGTGACAGCCGGCTGAACATGAGCCAGCAGTGGGCCCTGGTGGCCAAGAAGGCCAATGGCATCCTGGTCTGGATCAGGAATAGCGTGGCCAGCAGGAGCAGGGAGGTCATTCTTCCCCTGTACTTGACACTGATGAGGCCTCACCTTGAGTGCTGTGTCCAGTTCTGGGCCCTCAGTTTAGGAAGGATATTGAGACACTTGAGCGCATCCAGATGAGGCAACAAGGCTGGTGAGGGGCTTGGAACACAAGCCCTGTGAGGAATGGCTGAGGGAGCTGGGGTTGTTTTGCCTGGAGAAAAGGAGACTCAGAGGTGACCTTATCACTCTCTACAACTTCTGGACAGATGGTTGTAGTCAGGTGGGGTTGGTCTCTTTCTCCAGGCAGCAACTGATAGAACGAGAGGACACAGTCTAAAGCTGCGTCAAGGGAAACATAGGCTGGATATTAGGAAAAAGTTTTTTATGGAAAGAGTGATAAAGTACTGGAATGGTCTGCCTGGGGAGGTGGTGGAGTCAAAATTTCTGGATGTGTTTAAAAAAAGTCTGGATGTGGCACTCAGTGCCAGAGTCTAGTTGTGGTATTAGGGCATGGGTTGGACTTGGTGATCTTGGAGGTCTCTTCCAACCTTGTCATTCTGTTTAAATTCTGTTGAAAAGTGTTCAGCATGTCAGATCTGCTCATTACTCTCTGGATTTCTTCTGTTAAGCGACATATTCCTTTCATTTGCTAGTTATAATTTTATTATGTTGATTCCCCTTAGAAAGAATAATTCATGCTGGCAGATGGAATCACCTCAAGATTCATGCAGATGTGTGTCTGAACAGGAGGTAAGTAATTTTTTTATTTACTTATATATGTAAAAAATATCTGTGTGTATATTACCTTGAATTCCTTGGCTACTGTTTTTGAAGGGCTGGTGAAAGTGATGAGGAAATAAATCCTCACAGGTCTGACTTTGTAATGACTGAAGATTTACTTCTGTTTCACCTAATGAAAATTTCTTCTTTATCTATATGAACATATGTGTGCACTAGAAATGGCTATAGATTGATCTGAAATAACAGCATCAGAGACAGCTTAACTGTTTTCAGAAGATGCAATTTACCTTAAATATGTTATAGTACTCTGATTAAGAAAAACTGCCATGTAAAACAAGGTTAAAATGTAATATTTCCATAACATCTGGAAGACTACCTACTTTCAAAAGGAAGGGTGGGTGAACCTGGCTGGTAGAACCCACCATGTAATTTACAAATGAATGAGATTTAATTGTTAGAGTTTGCTTTTGGTTTAGATTTTGGATTTCAAAATACAACAGGCTTCAAGAAATGCAGGATTTTGAAAAATATAATGAATTTCTGACCTTCTTTTCTGCTGATTTGCTCTGAGTAAGAAACAAAAATATGAAATTGTGTCTGAGGTGACCAATTTATTTCCCCAAAAGGGAATATCCTATTAAAAAAGTATCTTTTGTTTATAAATGTATAATTATTTAGAGTAAGAGTTGCATATAAAATACAGCAATAAAATTTTAGGAGAAATGGAAGTAGGAAACTTGGTTTTTTACTTTTCTGGACAAGGAATAAGTTTGTCTCTAATACTAAAGAGACTTAAAATACAAGAAGGCTGAATAAAATACAAATGGGAATTTTCACAGGGAGAGGTCTATTAACCATAAAAACTGAAAGAACTCACTTGACAGTGGAGGCAGAACTTCTGTCTGTGAGCTATGTAAGAGCAATCTTTGAGAGTGAATTTTTATTTTCTGTAGGGTTGAGACGTCAAATAAACATTAAAATTTTTCAGTTGATTGGCATAAAGTACTTTGTAAAGCTTCTGAGATAATTGAGTCTAATATCTGTCACTTTTTCTGTGGTTGTGAGAATGTCCCACTGAATCATTAGAGGACATCTTCCTTTATTCTTCTCTGCAGCTCATCAACGAAATTTTTAGAAGCTTATAACATTAATTAGAATTTTGTTTTCATCTCATATTTATCTGGTGCCTATTTTGTGTTTCTTCTCAGGAAAAACAAATAAAAAGGAATCTTGCCTTTTTCATTGCTGTAAACTTTCCTAAACTTACATACAAGTTTTGATGTTTTCAAAACAAACTGACTGACAGGGCTGCAAGAGAAATCAAAGGGATTTCTAACATGTAGGTGGCACAATCATTTGAGTTGCCTTATAAACATAAAACTATTCATAATTTATTCAAAATCTGTTAAAGCTGAGAAAGGCAAGTCCAGTTTAAAAAAAATGCTGTAAAATCTACATAAAAATAAAAAAATAAAGCTAAATATAGTGCCACTGTTTTTAAAAAGTGCTTTACTTATTTTATGTATACTTTTTTTCAGATATGCCCAAGTTTTAATACCTCTGCTCCCTATGTAAAGAATACGAAAGGACATATTTTGTATAATCTTTCAGGGTTCCCTGTGGAAGAGTATTTAGTGAGGTCTTCCAGCAAAACAAGGTAACCATAAAATATCTAGCCTTTGTTTATCCCTTGTGTATGAACTCCACAGTCCTTTCTGATCCAAAGCATAGACATTTGTCATGGAGAATATAAGTTGTCTTTGTCTGGTGATTGTTATCAAGATGTAGAGTCAAGCTGCTATTCAAGGTAACATGAAAGACCCTCAATGGTCACATCTCAGAACTTCCTCCAGGAGCTGCATGATGATTACCTTGAGGCATACTCTGGAGTTTCTTCCACACAGTGAGTTATTTCAGCATCTCAGAGATGCATATCTAAACCAGGTGAACAATATAATTTTCAGTCCTCAGAGACTCAATCAAATAAAGGTGGATATGCTCCAATTAATATTTTCTTTGAAGTAAGAAGGGCTGGTATGCCCCTGGCAGTACTTTGTATTATGTGATATAAGCAACAGAGATTATCTGCTGTGTTGTGAAGTTTACTTATATGCCTTTACAACTCAACCACTGCTGATAATGTAAGTGGAAATATTAGACCATGTATGCTTTTATCGAGGAGAAGGAAGTGTTAGCCACTTATGTATTAAAAGAAGGTGCATCTGATTTTATATACATAGAGGTAAGCATCTTTGGATGAAAGATTTGAGCTAGTATATGAATGGTTTAGAAAGAAAGCTGTTTAAGATGCTTCTGGAAGTCAGCAATACCTCATTTGCTCACAACCTTTCCCATTGCTCAATTTCAGCTTTCAGAAAGCAAAAATTCTTATCTAAGGGAATAGCTTTGCTGGAAAAAAGCCAGTAATATTCACCTGATTAAAAACTACATTGTCCCCCTCCTTTTTAACAAAGAAGGGGTTTGTGAGGGATGAAATTTTACTTTCAGTTGAAAAATAAAGCATTAGTGTAGCTATCTCAACTTTACCCTTGCAAGAAAACTGCAAAGCTTAAGGCAGATAACTGTTCGTTACTTTAATTTCTACTACCAGATATGGTGGTTGGTCTTTTGGACGGATGAAAGCATTTGAACTTCTAGATAAAAAATTGAATAACACCAAATCTCAGCCTCTGGCTAGGGTAAGAATTGCATATATGTGTGCACATCTGTATGTATGTATTGATTACTTTTTCAGACTTCAGACATCACAACACTTAGCAAATAATAAATTATTACATGAAATCCTTGCACTTGAATAATTGGGAAAAATCCTCTGTCTCTTACAGTCTCTCTGTTCATAATTCTTGAAGTATTCTCTTGTGTTTGAGAAACAGTTTTAAATTGGTCGAATTATATACCTTTTTTGTTCTTTTGGGTTTATTTATTTTTATTTTTCCAGTGAACTCATTTTAGAATTTATGTTTAAAACTTGCTTTTAGATAGTCAGCCAAATAATATTTTTAGTTTGTTTTCTACAAAAAGCCAATGTCAGAATTGGCCAAAGTGCATTGAACATCACAGTAATGGGCTCTTATTGATGCTTTTTCATGACTACAAGGGATACTTTACTTCATTTCTCTCACCACCCTCCCTTTAAGAATAAAGATATCTTCTAGGAGCAGCTTCTTCTGCATAACAAGTATGCTATTCTTTTCTGAAAAGAACCTTTCAAAAACATTCCAAGGGAAATGAAATCCCCTGCATTGGTAACTGCTTGTTAGCCTCCAGGTCTCATCTCAATTTTTCACAATATGGAGACACTGTACCTCTCCACTGTCGGCAGTTCAGAGATGGGACTCCAGGGAATGCCAATGATGAAGTTGATTTATTGATTACAGGGCTCAGGTGATCCAGTCTTACAGCCTTGAATAGAATTTTCCACTGCCGAGCAATAACCACATTGTTTATGTTTCTTATCAATATTGCTTAACTACAATCTTTACAGGTGCAGTCTCACATGACTACCTTAAAATAAAACACAACATTCCTTTTCCTTGCTCTCTCAGATCTCTGTCTGAAGTTCTCATGGTTTCTGGCCTACCAGGGCCAAGATGTCCACACCATCAATCAATCAAATCTTCGGTAATCTCTGCTCCACTGGTCAGCTGCCCCCCCCATACTCCACCTTTCCTTTTTGCATACCAAAAAGGAAAAGCCCTTTATTTCAGTTGTGCTTAGAATTATCCTTCCTCTTTGCTTTTTGGGATCCATTCAAATGTAGATGCATGACAAGTAGAGGAACAGCAGTCTTGGAGAAGTATTGATGCCTATCAGTGAGAGGTCTCTGATTTTGTATTTGAGGCAAACAAGATTTGTTAAGAGGAAGCTGTGCATTTTCCAGATTCCAGATTAGGATATGAAAGAAACATGCTTCTGCCTTTAAATTTTTTTAATGTAAATATGGATTTTATTTGCTCTTATAAAAAAAAGGAAAATAAAAAACAGCATAAATAAGCTCCATCCCAAAATCCATTTTGAGACAAAGTGTTATAAAAAAATTCACATTTTCTCCAGTCCAATGTCATTTCATGCTTAGTTTTGCCAAATCACTTCCTGTTTCTAATGCCTTTTCTGTATAATTTTTTAGAAATCTCTCTATTTTATATACAAATCTGAGCATATATAGATTTTAATTTTGGCTATTTGTAATCTCTCTTCTAGTCCCATGTATTTCATAGCTTTGAATGCCAGTTCCATCATTCATTCATGAGAAACCTGAAAGTTTTCAGCAAGATGTATTTTTTTTCTGACTTCCATTTTTTCCTGTGTATCTTTAATCATTTTAGACTCTTGTTTTGAGATGCTTACACTGTGGTTTTTGTCAGGTCCTTTTTTTTTAGTGTGTTTTGTATAGAGCTCCACCTGCCATCAGGACAGGGATAAATTATAGTTATACTTTTAGTAATTAAGCTTCATATTTCTGACCCAAAGCAAATAGTGGAGTAAATTTATAAAGGGAACTGTGTTATCTAAAGCATCTCCTGGAAATGTACTTCAAATGATGCGATGTCAAGTTATTGCATTAACCTTTCAGTAACTAATGACTAGATTTTTACTTTGACCTTTCTGGTTTGTTCATGAGACAGTGAATGTACCATTTACATAGCCTGGTATGCAAGAAAATGAGAAATTTGCATTTGAAGAGAATTACTGTATGATTCACTTCATTTAAGAAAATTTCTGAATCTTTATACATTCTTCTCCAGTACTTGAAAAGCCAACGATTTTTCTTGTTCAAAATAAAAATATTTATTTAGTAACTATTTCACTGTTCCTAATCATACTGTGCTGTATATACTACATACATGGTATGTGCATGCACATAAAGAATGTATATATTGCACACAAGAGACAGAATGTATTTATGACATGACAAATATGGTTAATTAAAAACACTGATTATTGGCACTGATGATTGGTGCTATGTAGCAAAAGCACAACTTCTCACATTTTTGTATATATATACATGTAGAATATACATGACTGTATATTCTTTGGCTTCCTTTGGCAATATGGCCAAAAAAATAGCTTCATAGTTGCTGTTTTTTATAGCATAATGAAATATAGGAAGAACGTGTGGTAATTTTAAATGCTGCCGAAAGGCAAATGGTACTGTTCACTTGTAATTTGGAAAAGTACATTTTTCCAATCCTGAAGGTTGGGACTTGAGGCTTTACAGAACAGTAATTGTATAAGTGTCCAGAGGAAAAAATTAGATCTTTCTAGTTTAATATCAATCATGAATCTGGTCCAGCAATGCCTAGGGACTTCTCTGCTCCTTCTCATCCTTTTTTCTTGATAGGTCAAATGTTAGCTGAAATGTCAGTCTAGCATTATTCAAGTAAAAGATTACGTAATAATGTAAAACATGTCTTCACAGAACTTCAGTCTGATATGGTCAGGGGTTATGTTTTTCCTTGGGAAATAATTTCCCTTAATATGGATATAATATAAAATAAAATAAAATATAATTATATTGATGTATATAGTTGTCTGTTCCTCAGCCTTTTTCTTCCCTCTGTAAATAATTACCTGTGTGGCACAAGAGAAATATGAAAAATGTTTCAGCTAGAGCTAATACATTTCCTTTCGTTATATTTTACTTTTGCTAACAATTTTGAGTAAGAAACCAGTCTACAGAAAAAAGACCTTAAATGTACCTCCTGATGAAGTGAACAGCCTTATATGTCTCTTTTTCCAGTTTATAATAAATTAAATATCCATCTTCAATTTGATTATTTCCTCATGGTTTGATTCAGTTACATAATGCAGCTTGGAGGATAATTCCAATTAGCATGTTACGTATTGAAATATATTGTTATACACAATGCCCTATTGTGGTATTCATTTGAATACTGGTTGAGTTACTATATTTCAAAGGTGTTCTCTGAACATTTGTGAACTTTTCCCTGCCTGAATTAAATGTGGATGTGTTTTCAGAATTTTGCTTTGTTGTTTTTTTAATTGCCTTTATTTTTCCCAATGCAACAGACATAATTGCAGTGGAGTTTCATTATGTATATATATAAAACTTTCTAATCTGTGAAAACCTTTCAAAAAACGGTAGAATTAGAGATGTGTGTATGGGGCTGTGAAAAATACAGCTTACCTTTGATCAACTTGTTTCTGTCTTTTTGCCCTGGTTGCTGTATGCGCAGGAGGTCCTGCTGTGCAAAGATTTTTCAGTTTTCTGCAGGAATTTCAGGTTCTCTTTCACTACGTTTTGTTAAAGACTGCTCTTGTTGATTAATGAGTGGGAGATCTAGTATGAATAATAATTTGTGGGAACTGAACTGGAGAAGAGCAAAGGAGTTTCACTACTTTGCAAAGAGGGGAACATGTTAGGGTTTGTTCTTTTTTCTTTTCTTTAAATGTGGGGACATAAGGGTTTGAGACATTTGAGTACCATTACATGGCACATGGAAGATACTTAGGGGATCAGGCCCAGCAAATGTGGATTTAAGAAGAGGAGTGTTAAGGCAATAAAGATGTATATTAAATTCTATTCATTTTGCATTATGATTCAGAATCCAGAGAGACAGTGAGAATTGCCCTACCTAGGACGTACAAAATGCAGAGTACAAACAGCTGATATCAAAGAGGGAAAGGTTAGGAGTTTTTCAACTGTTTAAAAAAAAGGGAAGAAGGAAAAGTGCTATGATGTAAGGAATGGATAGTAATCAAATGGTTTTAAATGTCACTGAAACTGAAAATAAACATGCATAATGATTTGACCTAGTTTTCAGTATGGATAATATAGATTCAAAGGTACTATGATTAACAATAATGGATGATAAGAATCAGTTTCACTGCAGAGGAAACTCAAACCTCAGTATATTTGGTTTTGGGACATATCAAGCCCTCAACAATGGTTCTAGCAAGTGGAAGTGTGGATTAAGAGTATTTTATCAAGTCAGGGTGAATCTGCATGATCTGTATATGTTACAACACAATTGTTTCCCTGTGGTCCTCAGAGACTGGCTTGCCTTGTCAGCCTTAAATTTTATCTGCATCAATTTCCTCCATGTTTGACAAGCCACTGATGCTTGTTGGAGACAGCTTTGTCTATGGAACAGCTTCATACCTTGTAAACAGTGCCTTCTTGATTCTTTCTTTTCTCCTCTTTCTAGAATATTCTGTTCCTAGATATTTTATGCTGTATCATATGCAGGTATTATTTGGAGAAGTCTTTTGGAATTCCAACGATTCTTCCAATTTTAGCATTAGTATTAGTCATCTTCTTGTATTTTTGATCAAACTCGCAGGTGTTGTTTTCACATTGTTCTCCCTCTATTTGTTCAATCACATGTATGTAAAGGAAAAGGGACACAGTGTTCCATTAAATCAGAGAATCTCAATTTAGTAAGAAACATATGTGTACAACTCCAACAATAGAAAACTGCTGCATGCTGTTGAACAACCTATGCAAATCAACTGATTTTGTTCTGCCTAGTTGATTTCCTTCTAAAAGTAAATGTCTTAACAGAAGAATTACATATCCTTCATGCAATTTTTAAAGGTACATGAGCTTTCAGATCAGCATCCAGATTGAACTAATTTTTGATTGACAATTTCCATTCTTTCTTCCAGGTGTGGTATAACCAAAAAGGTTTCCATTCACTGCCATCCTACCTAAATGAACTCAATAACTTAATTCTGTGGCTGAATTTACCTTCTAATGTGGATTGGAGACAGTATGGTAATAGTCTTCCTTTGTATTTATTAATATATTTTGGAAAGTAGTTTTAAAATAAACTATAATACTAGTAATATGAAATTGTTTCAGTTTACAGTAGGATTTCAGAGTCTCATTCCTCTGGAGCTTGTGAAAATTGGAAAAGTGAAAATTTTAATTACACAGAAAGTTTGTATAGAGAATGTACTACACAGTAAGGTAAAATTTGAATTTAAAGCTCAACATGCCCTAATGAGTTCCCTACAGAGACATTCCTGTGGAATAAGTAAGCGTAAATTGATTTGGGATGTTACTGCATGTGAAACTACTGCTAGGGCTTAATTAAATGGAATGATTAAGGTACAATATACTATGGATTTATAATTTCTTTGGCACTCTACTATATCTCCTAATACAAATATCCAGGGCAAATCCAGATTAGCCTGTAAATTCACACAGCAATGTGATGTTTCATAGCATTCTGTTACTCAGGGAACAGGAAAGGCTACTGTATCTTATTATTGTGCAAAACAAAAAAGCAATTAATATATCTGCTGTGAATTCTCTGATTCAGATATCTCTGATATCTCTGAACTATATAAAATATTGTGAAAGTAAAAATTTTATGAACTGACATCCCAAAAATGACTGCAGCCAAAGACTCAGCTGTTAACACAGATGAATGTGTTAACATTTATCTTATTTATCTTTATCTTATTATGTGTTAACTTTTAGGATGTAGCAATCTAGTTTGAAATCTGGGCCTTATTAATTCAGAAGTTCAGGTTACCTTCTATTCATTCCAGTTCCTTTCAATCTTTAAAGTCTGTTAAAAGGGAATTGGTTTAAAGACATTTTAAAAGAGCTTATAACAAATTTTTATGAGTACTTACAAATTTAGGATGGTTGTCTGTAATGGTAAAATGATTTTAAGTGTTTTATAATGAAGAAAGAAGACTGAATCAGTGAAAATGGGGAATGAATCCTGAGAAATCAAGAAACAGATTCATTAAGAAAACTTTCTGGAATGTCAAGAAAAAAGAGTAATTTCTTGTTTTCAAGATGGCTGGAGTTTTATTTTTCTAAATGAATTATGAGAATGGAACAAAGGTAATGTGTTTACACAAAAACTTTAAATGAAATTTAATCAGATAATGAGAATTTTTAATAGAAATAATTTTTTAATAAATTTTTACTGAACTTCATGAGTTGCACTGATGCTAGCTTTTTTTCTGTACCATTAGATAACCCATTCTAGAACTTAAATGTTTGTGTACCCTTGCTTTTATATCTATCATGGAGGATCAGGGCTTGTTGTCCTGCTTACACTCAGAGAAAATTATAGATAGCCCAAAGATTGTGGGAATGATGTATTTTTTGATATTGCATGACACAGAAACACAGCAAGCACAACAGTGCTTAAGAAATACTTCAAGTCTTGTACTGACATTTGTACAAGTATGGGCTCATTGTATAATCTTGTGGCAGAATATGTTAGCTGCCTGCAGAAACAGAGTTTAAGAACTAGAAAGTAATTTATCTGTCTTCATCTATTGGAGAAGTGCAATAAAGATGGACTGATCATGCTCTTGAAGCATAATGCAGAGGGAACTGTCACAGAAATCTTGGGAAGAGAGGTCAAGTTACCTACCTAGATATCTGTATGTATGTATGTATTTGTTTGAGTACTCATATTTGTATATGTGTGTGCATGTGTATGTATATGCGTGTATTTTTTGCAGAGACCAATACATATGTTTATTTTATTTCTAAAAAACTCAAGAGTTTTCCAGCGCAACATGAGCCACTTGAACTCAGTTCACTTTGACTTTTAACTTTCTCTTATTTGAGGATACTGTTCTAACAGAAAAGAACTATTCATATAGTTCTGTTATTCAAATTGTTATATGCAGTCCTGTAAGTCAGCAGTCAGAAGACTACATACTGTGTTCCAACACTGAGATTTTTTTTTTTTTTTCCTTCTTTCAAACTCTGTTTATAGACAAGGTCAGTTCTAGAATATTGCTGAAAATTGCTGTGAGGAAGCTTGTTAAGATGTTGCAGAAACATGACTTTGTAGATCTGCCTTGCATTAATGACATGTTATTTCACAAAACAACATTTTTCCTGTCAACAGAACCAGTGCTTCTCTATTACTTTTAAGTGACATAAAAATAATTTGGTCCTTTAAAAGGGACTGTAAGGACAAAGTGTTTTCTTCTTTCACCAATAAAAAAACCAAAAAAACCCAACCAAACAAAAAAAAAATTGCTTCAATTGTAAGCAAAAAGCTTACTACAATAGAGTAATAGCATTGCCATGGATGTAAACACAATAGCAGCCAGCAACTATGATATGGAAACAACCTTGAGTGAGGTCAAGAAGATCTGTAACTTGCTTAAGTGCTCATACAAAAGCTAAAAACCCTTTCACTTTGCAGTAATACCCTATGTGTATTTCTTGAACATGAATCCAGCTGGAGTTCTCCCAAGATCTTTGGATAAGGGAAGAATCGTAACAAACCATATGCTGAGTTCTACCTGATTTATCTGCAAGGAGAAATCCAGTAACTTTTAGTGGAGATCAGTAGCACTAGTCTAAGTTTGTGAGAGGTTTTGATAATAAGGAACTGAGCAGAAGGCTAGTTGCTTTTGTCTAGTCTTTTCTGTAGTCATGAAGATACATGGAATATAGACTTATGATTTATTATGGAAGTTTGAAGGAAAAGATTTTACCCAAGAGTATAGAGGACATATGCTGCCTTGCACTGGTTTATATCCATAGGGATTTGTATCTGTTCAAAAAGCTTTAAAAAAATTATTGCTTTTTGTTCTGTCAGTCCAAGTTACTAACTCTTCAGCATGCAGCAGCAGGAAATTATCTTTATTTAGTGATTGAAAAATCTGTCCTTTTTGCTATTGTGTAATCTGATCTTCAAATACTTTCTCTGCAAAATAGAGAGATTTCTCCTCACCCCTGTCTCTTAACAATTTGGGATTATTGGTAAACTTTGCAGTGAGGATGCTTGGAAAGTTATAATGTTTGTTTCTTGTAATTTTGTTTTTACAAAGAGTGGTGTGTCTGTTGAAGAAAATGTGTATGCCCAGCTGGAGATGAACGTAACTTGTTTGAGCAACAGAAATTGGCCCTATCAGTTTATGTCAATTTATTGTAGTTAATGGGTCAGATGTCTCTTTTGAAACAGCAGCAATTTTTTGTACAAAAATGTCATTTTCTCTATCATGTGGATATCCACCCCTACGTTTATCATCATGTAAGTCTGTGACACCATTGTGGGAAAAAGTCATCTGTCTCAACTGTTGAGGAAATCAAATGCATTCTGTTTCCTAGTGGGTTATAAATTCAGTGGCAGATGATGAAAAGGGACATGTTAATAAATTAATTAAAAAAAAAAAAGTTTGTAAGACACTTGAACAAAGAAAATAAGATTCTGGAAAGTAAGATGCTGGAATTTTGTCAAAACCCTTTACCTCTGACTGGTATTCTAGCTTGTGAATGATGTTTTCTAATCTCTTCTGAAATGCTGCATTCTTACAACTAAGTAATTTAATTGTGAGCAAATAAAAATGCAGTAATAAGAGGAATAAAAACCTAAAAGGCAATATTTTTTGCTTAAGCTTAAGATAGAAATTTTGATCAAGTTCACACCTAATTGTATATCATGGAGTCAAAACGTTTTTATCATGCTGGAGTATAGGAAAAGGACTATAATCTCCCTCTTGGGGTAAGACTATATAAAGAAAAAAGGAGTGGTTGTCATCTATAATGGTATCTGTAAAGTAGAGTGGTCAAAAAGGGCCAAAAGGACAAAAATGTCTCAATATAAAAGGGCCTTCTGCAATGCAGCTGCCCCATCTTAGGCTTCCTATTGAAGTAATTGATTTTTTAAAAAAACTTTCATACTAGTATTCATTGTAAGATTTCATGTAGCATCCTCATTTATTTCAGGTTCAATTCTTCAATAGAGCAGAAGAGATCAAGGGAGTAATTTTCAGCTGAATTTTGGTAGAAAGTGGCTCTATAGTTTCCTGAATGCTTTGCAAATTTTCTTTAAACCTTATTACAAAGGAAACTGTGAAATGGCCTTTGGGTGGAACCTTCTTAACCATGTCTAGTTAGTAGGGAAAACTAAAATAGAAACCATAAATGATGATGCTGCCTGTGAAATTCTCCATAAAATATAAATTATAATTTTCAGATAATAGTAATGTCTCATTTTATATATATATACATATACATATAACTTTTTTTTCATATACATAATATTTTATTTAATCTGCAATAAAATGTCTGGAATAAAGAAAGCTAGATTGGTCTTCTATTCAAGTCTGCCACAATCATGCTATTTCAAATCAGTAGCACAGATCTAAACTGATCTATGTATGCAAGACTTAGCTTGACATAAGAGACAGTTTAAAAAGAAGTGCCAAGAGACAGATTCAGGAACACCCAAAATACAGTGCAGAGCTACAAAATATACCTAGGGACAGCTCTGACTAATCTACAGTGATGGCATACAAGCTTGAAGAACTTTAAGATTTTTTTCATCTAGATTTCTCCAACTGATACTGAAAAACTATTGCGAGGTTCGTATCGCTTTCCTTTATTTTTGCTGAAAAACCACAGATTTTAAAGTGTGTTTATATGGCAAGTTGCACCCAGGTGGGATGGACTGGATGACCAATGTCTTTTCTTCTTTATCGTGTACAGGATGGGAACATCCAACTCTCTAAAGTTATGCCAAATTGTGCATGCCTTTATTTTCTGACAGAGGGTCAACTGGTTTAGATATGAGATAAAAGATCTAGAGCACTTTCTCTTGAAGGCACAGATTGCAGACTGTTAATAAGATGTTGGTATAGGGAAAGGTGCCCTGAGTTTTGCAGCTCCTAAAAGGCAACAGGGCACGATGCGGAATGTTCACAGCAAACCTCTCTAATGTGGATGCATTTTCCTTTTGCCTGTGAGCTTTTCTATCCAGAATGAAAAAGTATAGTATTTTA